CATCATAGCCTTTCTAAATACCTTTAAATTGGCCTCTGTCTCCTGAAGAATCTCCTGTTTTGGACATTCGCACTTCGACAATGCTTTGGGGGAGGGGTGCTCCGTGGGGAGGGAGCTTGGCAAGAGACTGAGCTCCAGGGAGGAGCTTTGTGTAAATAGGCGGTGCTTTGTACCAGCAAGTGCTTAGGCAACGTGTATAAATGAGTCAATGCAACACTCTGGGTATGTTTTTGATGAGGGAATGACATTATAAAATGATATAAATCTAAAAAACGTCTATTTTACATAATCCCCCCACCCCCACACCCCCCCACCATTTAAATTTAGTTTTTGCTCTACAATCCTAGCTTCTGACCCCACCGGTCTGGGTACTCACATCATAGCCGTTGTTGCGGATGCCCCTCCTGGATCTCTCCCTGAGCACCAGCAGGTCCATCTCCGTCTCCACTGGGCTGGGGCTGCTCAGAGACTGCCGGCTCCAGTAGGTGGGCTCTCGTGGGTGGGAGTACCTGGTGTCCAGAAATGTACCTCAGTGCCTGTTGTAATTAACTTCGTTTCGTGTTAAAATTCGATTTAAACGTTGTGTTATTTGTCTCGCTGCTACAGCTAAAGCCCCGCTAACAAACAATAACTGGGCTCTACCTGGTATTTCCTGCCTAGAAACAGCATTTTAACACATCCTCTAACATTGAAAAGTACGACACATTCGACTGATTGAGTGTGAAATAAATTAAATGCAGTTTATGGTCAATGCTCGCTTAAAACCAGCTTATTTTTGGACAATTCATGTTTGAAGCTCTTGCGGGCCACATAAAATGCTGTGGTGGGCCACATTTGTTGACTGGGCCTTGAGTTTGACACACGTTAGCTGTTTTTTTAACAAGTCCAAATAAAAAAAAAAGTGAACTTTAGAGGAACTTTGGGGGAAATTGTTCTTTATTCTTCATGACCAATTATGCTGCTTTATCCAACAATTTTGACATCAAACCAGAGATTCTCAGCTGGACTGAGGTCTGGGCTTTGACTGGACCAATCAGGATATTTTACTGGTTCAGCCTAACCCTCTGGAGTGTCGCTTAAGATGAAGCAACACTGAACCTTTGTCTCAGTGTTGAATCAAACATCATTTAAACTAAATGTTGTAAAATATGTTGTTTTTTTATATTTCCATTGGGAAATTTTGTATCCAAAACCCAGTCTGGTGACCTTTCAGATGTCAGAACACAGGATAAGTCTGACAAAGATCAGTTTTATTCAAAGCGTCAAATAGGAGGAAATAAAATTAGGGTTCTGCAGTTTACATGAGGCTGTAAACAAAGGAGATTTACAGATATGATGAGTGTATTTGGTGACACTTCAGTGAGTAATCCTTTCAGGGACAGTTTGCAGACTGAACGTGATCCTAAAGTCAGTGATAAAGTGAAACCAAACAGGCTGTCATTCGTGTGAACTGTAAAATATTAAAGCACGGACCGAATCTCACCCCTTCCCATGAGTTGCTTAGCAACTGGGATGCACAGCTACAAGTGTACGCTGAGTTCTTTATTATATTTGGCAGAAAAATGGAGTTTGATCTGAATATTGCAACACATCAATCACGAACGCAGTAATTAAGACATCAGTTTTATAGAAATAAGATTCATCCTGCCTAACAATCTCATGCAGCTGTAAAACACTTGGTTTAATGGCTTACTGCCTCGGAAGTTAAATTAAAAAGAAATGAGAGAAAAAAAGGAGAAATTTAATTAATATTTTCAAGGTCTTTTTTTAAACAACTGGCTTCTTGTTTTACATGGTGTTTAACTGTTGAAGAAACGGGTTTGATTTAGTTTTTATGGCCTTTTCATCCTGTAAATGTTATTACTGATTTGTCATTTTTTTAAATGTGAAACTGTTAATAATAGGAGGAAACTATTTATGTGGTTTTGTTTTTATCATTTGTCTCATAATTTTGGTCAAATCTTTTCTTTTGAAAGCCATTATTTTTATTGTTACGTTGTGTTTTTTGTTGTTTTCTGCCCATTTACACATTTTACCCTACACATGAATTCCTGTGTCAGTCTCAAACCTCAGCCGGTTGTGGCAGACAGCCGCTCATCCCGACGTTTGTTAAAGGGATCCACCATTAGTTGTAACATTAGACTTTATTTGATAAACATTTATTTTAACTCTAAAATAAAGACTCTGAAAATACTGTAGGCTGTAGTTTTCATAATTTTTTAACTTTTTTTTTATTTATTACATGGACTGAGCTTTCAGCTGAGCAGTCAAATTCTTTTAGTGAGTATGTCTTTCTTATTTTTATGATGTTTTTTTTTGTTAGTTTAGTTGGTGTGGCTGTGGCTTCGATGGCCCTGTATAGGGTTGGCCCACTGCCACACCTCTAGTTTGTTTAGCTGGTTCACCAGGTCCGTCTTTTGTTTGAACTTTATATTTTGTTTTAGTTAGTTTGGGCACAGGTAGAAAAAGGATCATGTTCTTTTTTTCCTTCTTTTGCAGCTAGGTTTTGGTTCCTTTTTTTTTCCAGCATGGTTCCAGGAAGGACAAAAAGGTCAGACAAATTAATAAAACCAAAATGTTTGAACCCGAATTTTGTTTCTATGTCCTCTCTAGATATGTTGTGACCCTTCTGTTTTTTGGGCAGTAACATATTTATGGGGGCTCGTCCGGGATCTGATCTCAGTTTAGCTTGTTTGCTTGTTGCGCTAGCGCCAAGCTAATACATATAAGGCAATATAGGTGCTAAAGCTAAAAGGCTAAGCTGAGGTTCTTATTCCATGAAGAAGCTCTGTTGTCCTCCATCCATATTTTCAGATACAGGCTGAGTCATTTCTACCTTCTCCTCTCTGTCAACGCTCTCTGGTTTAATTTAAAAGAGTCGATCATCAGATATTGTCCAAGATTAACCTTCAGGGTGGATATAGCTCGCTAACAGCCTCACACCAAGGATCTGTCGACGTCATCATTTACCCAGTATACTTTGCCTGTAAATAAAATGGCTCACTTTGTGTGTAATATATTTCTTAAAAATTTACAAAATTAAAAGTCTACAGTATTTTTACAGACTATATTTTACAGTTAAAATGTATGTTTATCAAATAAAGTTACAACTAAACGTGGATCCCTTTAAAGGGGAGTTTTTCCATCCTACTGTCCCCTCTCACTCAGGATGGGAGGTTAAGACAAGGAACTCCTCACCTCTTGTGACATCCTGCAAACGATGCCCTCTTCTCCTCGGCAGTCATTGGCTGTTTGAGCCCGTTGTCGTGCCGACCGTGCCGGTTGTCTCTGTGACCGTAACCGTGGTTGAGACTCTCGGAGAGGGAGAACTCTCCGTAGCCTTTCCTTCTGGCCTTCTGACGCAGTTTGTTCCTGTAGTGCTCGATGTCCGACTTCTGCTTCAGACCTACGTGATTCGCCTGAAAAACACAAGTATGGAATTCAATTTTGCACAAACAGGTTGTTTGAAGCGACACAACTTTATAAAAATTGATATTTTCAAACCTTCTTTTGTTAGCTTTTTCCTGCTTTTTGAATAATCAGAGAACGTTTCACCCTAACCATTTTTACTTCAGAGCAGGGCACCAATAAACGGCAGCAGATAAATTGGAAAACCTGAAGAGGGCCTGAGGGCGTGGGGGTGGGGCTCTGGTATTATAGACTGAGGAATAATTTATCATCTGCCTGTGTGGCTGCTTCAGACACAGAAGCGCAGAGAGGTTGAGATATAGCGAGCGTGAGATGTGACAAAAACAGGGTGAGAGACCGGAGAAGTAAAGTGTTTGTAGCAACACCAGCTAAATTCAGTAACGGTACAACGTGTCCCAGAGGGAGATGTGATGCTGCAGCTCAGGAGGTGGGAACAACAGATGACTGAGGGAGACTAATGTCAGATAAAACACCTTCTTTGTTCCATTTAAATGCATTTTCAGCTTAGTGTGATGCCACATTACTGACCATGTAAACACTAATGTACCGATGCTGTTTCAGCGAATTATGTCTCAGTTTTCTGCTGCTCTGTATAACTGTCATCACAGTGTGCTCACCTCACAGCTGAGCGTGACAAAGTGTGTGGATTGTGTGCACACAAAGTGCAAACTCACCTCCCCGTTGACGATGACAGAGTCCTGGCTGTGCGAGGAGGAAGAGGGGTACGAGTAGGTGGGCTGGGCCGTCATGGGTTTGATGGTAATGAGACGCAGGGAGCTGGAGTGGTCTTCAAACAGGTCTGGGAGGAAATTAGATACAGAACATTATTTATTACATTACATCTGAGGTTGTTATCACATGAAGCTGTGAGAAAATACCTGAAACACTAAAAATATAAAATATTCATACCCTCACACGCCCTTCTCCTGCGACCTTATTCTCATCACTCTTTTAAATTTATATACGTTTATTAACATTTTTAGTTTTACGGTAGACTTAAACTCATACAGTGTTTTTTTTTCCTAAAAAAATATCTTCTCCTCCCCCATCCAGGTGGCACAAAATAAACAAAACACAAATATAAGTACACAAATTAACTCGGGAGCAAGACAAAACTTAACAAATTAAAAATAAATACAACCAAAAACTCAAATCCCTACCATATGTTGTATGGTTATAGTCCCATGATACTGATACGGTTAAACGATGAAAAACAAAAATATCCAATCATCACAGTCTGCACATAAGAAAACTGGAGTCAAATAACGGATGTATCTCCAACATAATTAACTGTGACCAGGTTTTATCTTGTTGTCCACGCACTGTATACCTAATCTTTTCCATTTCTAACTCCAACATAACTTCTCACTTTTTATTCAAAAAGAAAATTATTCTTAATTTATTCCAAAATAATGCATCCAACAACTATTAAAAAATTTAATATCCATATATTTAAAATTTATATGGTTTTTATACCAGATATTTTATACATTTGAAAAAAAAATTAGGACCCAAAACTGACCCCTGCGGAATGCCTCAAGCTACGTCCACACACTGTGAACATCTCCCAGTTTCACATAATGTTGTCTGCCACGAAAATAACTTCTAACTCATCAAGTTTATCCTAAAATATGTTTACAGTGAAGTGTCAGACAAAAAAAAAAAAAAAAAAAAAAAAAAACAATGAAAAGCTTCCATAATGATGCGAAAATGTAACAAGCCACTTCAAGTTCAGATTCCTATTTAAATAGTTAAGTTGTTCTATGTTTATGGCAAACGTGCTGAAGTGTTGACCCCTTTATCTTTTCCTGTCCCACTCTTAGATAATTTTTAAATTTGCAGCCTATAAAATTATGTTCATGTTGTTCATTTTAACCATAACAGCTCACAAAACAAGTAAAAACATCCTGATCGCTAAAAGTAAGCTGCTACAGAGAAAATGTACATGCCATTTCTTGTTTGTAAATGAGAAGTGGTTCTCAAACAGTTTACCTGGATAAATAAAGGCTAAATACAACAAACATTGTGTGTAGATGATCTCAGTTAGCATTGCAAGTGAGCTGTTGAGGAATTAAAAGCGCAGCTGCTGAGGTTTAGAAAGCAACAATCTCTGTAATCCGTTACTACTGCAATTATTGTTGCTTCTCCAACTGAGGAAGAACAAAAATATATCTTTCCACATAATATCTTGTGGAAAACTAGATTGAGTGTCCAAGAAAAAAAATGAATAAACAGAGAGAGAAATGACTCTTCTCTCATTCTAACAGTAAACAAAATGTTTCCACTGCACCACTGTTTAAAGCTGCACATCCATGAAAGCTTAGGAGTTGCTCTGTAGTAGCTGGAAGTTAAATCTTACAATGTATTCCTAAATATGCAATCCTTTTTATTTAGTATGAAGTTTAGAAGAAAAGAAAGCTTCAGGGCAAACAAAAACCTCTTTACTGGAACAATCGTTTCCCCAAATTCTCTACAGTGAGACATTAAATTCATGTTTTCCACATCGAATAAATGAAAGGACTTCATGAGTGGAGTGTGTCTGTTCCAGTTTTATCCATTAACAGGATGTTTGTCCACAGCTGTGCCTCCTTGTTTACATGCATTTATGGCCTTGATTTATTGCCAGACACTGCAAAGAAAGTCAAAAACACATTCGGTCTTTGGATACTCTTGTTGCCAAGGAAACTACTAAATTACACAAGCTCATCGATGACATGCTGAGTTTTAATTCTAAAGGTGGGATTTAACAAAACACAGTTTGGTGTTTCTCCTGATTAGCTGAGCGTGGCGGGCCTCAGACAGCTCCTGGGGTATTTTAAGTTGTCGCAGGGAGCAGCAGATGGAGCGGGTTGATTGGCTCATCTCTGACTCACTCACAGACTGACATCATAATAACTTTGCTCCAAAACTGTCTGCGTCGACCAGCCTTCACTAAGCAGCAGCGGCGACTCAGAGGACGTTGTTTGTTACATCGACGCCGTGGGCGTGGCAAACATCGAAACATTGTGACAAAACGTGTGGACAACGTGAACTGTCAGCAGTGACTGCTGTCGTGAAAGCATTTCCACCACTGTCACAACAAATCACAAACACAAGACTTGCTTGAAAGATCACCAGTCAACAGGGGCGGAGCCAGAGGGGTGGCCAGGGTGGCAAGTGCCATTTATGACACCTGATTGGCCACCCCAGGTGCCACCCCCAAATAACTGACAAGTGGGCGGAGCGATGATCTTAGAATTCGCTAAAGATTGTTCTCTGAAACTACTGGAAGATAGAAATTTTTAGCTGTGTGTGTTTAAAAATAACCAAATTTGTAGAATTAGCATTAGCATTAGTAGTTAGTTTAACATGGGATCATTATTAGCTACTCCACAACAATTCACATCTCAATAGGTTTTAAAATGGCTGAATATTACCCATTTAAAGTTAGCTGTGGCGGCTATCTTTGAGTTTTTGATTTGAAGATTGTTTTTAGCTACTTCTACACTAATCTTCAGCTTTAAATGTCTAAAAATGACTGAATAATAGGTTGTGACGAGCATTCAACATGTTTTGTGAATATTTCTTAGCTTTGATTACACAAAATTTCAGCTTAATATTTCTTAAAGTGATCCACGATTAGACTTTATTTGACAAACATATTTTAATTGTAAAATAAAGACTGTAAAAATACTGTAGGCTGTTTAGTTTTGTAAATTTTTAAAAAAATATTTCAACACGGACTAAGCCATTTTAATTACACGCAAAGCATTCTGGGTAAATGATGATGTCGACAGGTCAACGGTGCGAGGCTGCTAGCGAGCTATATCCACCCTGAAGGTTAATCTTGGACAATATTTGATGATCGACTCTTTTAAATGAAACCAGAGAGCGTTGACAGAGAGGAGAAGGTAGAAATGACTCAGCCTGGAACTGAAAATATGGATGGAGGACCTCGGTTTAGCTTGTTAGTTTGTAGTGCTAGCTAATACAAGCTAATATTTATCAGGCAATAAAGTGTTAGGGGTAACGCTAAAGCTAACAGGCTAATCTGAGGTTGTTCTTCCATGAAGCAGCTCTGTTGTCCTCCATCCATATTTTCAGTTCCAGGCTGAGTCATTTCTACCTTCTCCTCTCTGTCAACGCTCTCTGGTTTCATTTAAAAGAGTCGATCATCAGATATTGTCCAAGATTAACCTTCAGGGTGGATATAGCTCGCTAACAGCCTCGCACCGATGACCTATCACCGTCATCGTTTACACAGAATGCTTTGTGTGTAAATAAAAATTTTCAGTCCGTGTAATATGTTTAAAATTTTAGATTAAAAACGATAAAAAATAAACAACCTACAGTATTTTTTCAGTCTTTTTTTACAGTTAAAATAAGTGTTTATCAAATAAAGTCTAATAACTGTGGTGGCCATCTTGAATTTTCAAATTCTGGGTGCTTTTCTTCGTTTGTATGTGCCCCCCTAAAAAATGACCGTGGCCACACCGTGCCACATCTTGCAAAAAAGTCCAGCTCTGCCCCTGCCAATCAACCCCATTCAAGATGCCCACCACAGTTAAACAAACTTAATAAACACAAAATTAGCTTCACTCAGACAGTTTTAGAGATATTCAGCTCCAATCTGCCATGGTAGTAGCTGACCGTTGTCCATGCCAAATGCACCAAGCGCTAAAAAAATAATAAATCTGTGCATGAGAGGAAAATAACAGCTGAAGATGTGAGTATAAACCAGAACTGTTGTCACATATTTCTGTGTCACTGCACAGTTATCACTCTGGACGCTATCCATAAAATAAAATCCTTAAAAGTTTGTGATTCAACCCACGTAAAAGCAGCACAGATGTTCATTATTTTCTAAATAATTCCCTTTTCAAACTTTTCCATTACACCTGTGACTCATGAGTTTTTTCGTACAAACAGACCAGAAGGTTCTTAAAGAGGGACAAAAAGTTAAGATTTACAAAAAAAAACATAACTTTTAGCTCATTTAATTTTCATAAAAAACACTTTTCCTGTCCGTCTCTGGCTAACTAAAACCCATCTCATCTCCCCCTCACATAGTCCTGGTATTTGTGAATTAGCTTGTAGAAACACAATAAATTACACAAATTACTGTGAAAATTGGTTTGCTGGTGGAAAAGAGATTGAAAATCAGTGTTAGAATGAGAGTGCCTGGGAGCAGGGTGATCAGGGAGTCGTGTTTATGCAGTCAATTCTGAGCCTGCAGCTCCGGTGAAATGATCTGCCACCACTGATAACCGGTTCTTCTCCTGAACCCTCGGACGGCCTACAGTCCAAACCTGCAGCTCAAGAGTTATCTTTTTATTCTCACTGTTTTATCTCAACACTAAGAAAGTAAACGCAAAGTGCTAGATGAGTAATAATGTTTAGAAACTGTCACACTATATCGTTTTAGACAACTTATGCAGACTTAGGAAAATTTGTTGTACCGTTACTATTTGACTCATATCAGCAATAAATTCATATTATTATTACAGTAGAGTTTTTATTAAACATCTAAACTTGTCATAAATTGGCATAAAATGTCTAAAACATTATAATGTGACAGAGCTCTAAAGCTTAATGATATTAAACAATCCTCTCTTTATAAATATGACAATTCCAGTAAAGTCATTCCAATAAACAGAAAATTAAACTTTTCTTTTTCTTTGGTTTTGGTGGTCCTGATGAAGCAGCATGAAGTGGTCCTTTCTGATGTGCACATGGTTTTTCTTTTTTCTTTTTTAATGTCACAGTAAAGGTTGACAACGTGACGGTGAAACTGAAGCACAAATACTACCAACGGATTGCGAAGAGGTCGACCGTCAGTAATCGGATTGTTTGCGTCGGTGACTTGCTGTTGTTTCACGTCAAACTGCCTCGTGTTTGAAAACCTGCTGGTGAGCAGAGCACCTGGCTGCAGATGTGTCACCAGTAAAAACCAGAAGAACCAGTCTAATCTCATTCTCATCGGGGACTTCCTGCTACCAGCTGTGGTTCACTTCATCGTGTACTGTCGGAGTTTTAAGCTGCTGCATCAGGTCTGTCGTTTGTGTATAAAATATATGTGACCCGTCATATCGAAATGAGGATTAAGTCAAATTTGGTCAAAATGACCTCATTACATTTTCAGATTTGTGGCTTTAAAAGCTACATTTTGATGCCTGGATCATTCTTATATCATACGCTTATCCAGAGATATGACTTCATTTGTCTTGTTGGTTATGATAATACATTGTTTGGTCTGAATCCTAATTTTATGTAAATTTATTGAGTCATTTTTGATGTCAATATAAAGAGGAAACCTCAAATAGTATTTGTATATTAGGATTTCCCAGTTGGAAAGAAACAAAAACATTGCTAGCTCACAGGGAAAAATTAAAAAATTTAAGGCGTTTTTCCTCAAAATCAGTTTTTTTGTTGCTGCTGCTCAAAAAAATGCTTCAAAAAATTTTTTATGATTATATTTCAGACAGTTTATTCAAACCATACATTGATAAGGCATTAATGCATTATATTTTGACAAAATGCAATTTTTGCAGACATTTAAATCTAAACTAAATATCTGCCTATTTGTCCACATCCCACTTTTGGACTTAATCCTCATTTCAGTGTCATGGGTCACATACAGTATATAAACATTCTGATAGAAGTGAGAATTAAGTGATTAAAAGCCAGAGGTCTATAAAGTACTTTAAAAGAATAACTAAGTAAAAATACCTGAACAGAAAATGACTTTGGTCAAAATAAATTTCACTGATATGAAAAGTACTTAAGTCATAAAACTGTTCACAAAAATCCAGAAAGTACACTCTCTAAGAAATAAACTGTTGAATTTACTGAACCAAACTAAAAAGAAAATTAAAGATAATATGTGTATTGTCTCATATTTACTCTACAAGGTTTAGTGGAACCAGCTGACATGACTTGGTTGAGTAAATCAACACTTTATTTTTTAGAGTGCAGAAACACAAACTTTGGACAAACTGTTCTGTCAGTCAGAGGAGGTCACTTTTGGAGCAGTCTCCTAACAAATATAAGGGAATGTCCCAATTACTGCACTTTTAAAAAGCACCTTAAGTAGTCTCAAAGTTCCCAGTCATGCACTCATTTTGATTAATTTTATTGTTGTAATGTCATTTGTCTGAACATGTGTTTACATGAGTTTTGCTTGATATTGTATATTGAGATCTTGTGTTGTTTTGTCTTCTACAAAATGTGCACTGTCACAATTAAATAAATAAATAAATAAATAAATAAAATTTAGGATGAGTTCGACGTATTTAATTTTTTGACCAGGCGTTAAATTTTTAAGTAAAGAAGTGAAAGTATAATTTTTAGGTTTTCAATGTAACAAAACAAAAGTTAAAGTAATGATTAAAATCAGTGTGTGAATGTGAGTGTGAATGAATGATGCATGAAAATTGTAAAGCGTCTTTGAGGGTCTCGAAAAGTGCTATATAAAACTAATGCATTATTCTTATTATTAAAAAATGTTTGCTAAAATTACAAATCCTCAAAATAAATGACTTAAGTACTTAGTTACTATAAAGCTCTGTTAAAAGCTACATTTACAGTACACGTTATTTTGTAATTGCTGATTTACTCAACCGTCATCTGTTAAAAATGTCAGATCAATGTTTATGTTTAAGAGAATGACTAGAATTGGTTTGTTGAAGAAATATGAAAAAGGATCATATGTACTCATATAAATTTTGTTTGAGGAGGATTGTTGTTTTGTTTTGTTCTGTGTTTATTACTCAATGGCTAATTTGTTTATCTTCTTCCTAAAAGGGGGCAGATACTGTGGGATTTTTTCCTTCTTTCTGCTGCCTTGCATTTTATTTTTGATATTGTATTTATTGTATGTAAAATTTGCTTTGTTCGTTTTTTTAATGAAATTATTATTTACGTTTTTTTGTAAATTGAAGATTATTTTGTTTGAATTTATCTATTTGTGAAAAAGAGGAAGAAATCACAAGATTCTTCTTCTGCTACCTTTCATTTAAGTTGTGATTTGTGTTTTGTTGTATGTTGAATTTATGATGTTTTGTTTTAAATGAATAAACTTTATCTATTTATATTTATTTATAAACAGCTTATGAGAGGTTTCTGTTTATTTTAGGATAAGAATTTGATGTCACCTTTCATTTTTCTATTTTACAAACCAAAAAGTCTAAATATTATAACAGTGAATAACTCCTGAAGTGACAGCACACTCAAATATTATCCCCACTCCCTTTTGACATTTCCTCTGTGGGTGGAGTAAAAATAAATAACTGGATATGAAGCTAGAGGAGCATCCTCTGGTGTTTTTCTCCCTGCAGTTGTTTTCAGACGTGCCTCCTGGAGTGAGGCGAACCAAACAGAAGTTGTTAGAATCTAACACGTCTCCTCTGATGAACGAAGGACACATGTTCGTCTTTACTTTAGTTCATCGTGTTTCCATCTTTACTCTCCTTTAACCTCATCACCCCCCATGTCTCCTCGTTGATCCCCCTCCCTCACCGTTTGCGCCCCTCTTGTGCAGCTCCTCTTTGCCGTTCTTGCCGCTGCTGCCCGTGGCCGTCCTCCGGGCCGAGGAGCTCTTGCTGGTGTTCAGCTTCCCTGAGCTGTGACTCGACATGGAGCCGTCCTCCTCGCTGGGCAACCGTCTGCAGTGGCCATGGCAACAGAAAGACAAGACAAGACGAGGAAAGGGAGTTTGAGTGAGGCTTTCAGAGGAAACAGAGCGAGTCACATTTCACAGGTACGACAGGCAAAGTGCTTCATTGACAGCTGGAAACTAATATTATAGGTAAACATGACAAATAAGTGCTTTGCAAGCTACATAAGTTCGAGTTGCATGTTCGAAAATGATTCACCTGGAGCTGAGATGGAAAAACACTTTTATTTTTTTCAATTCAGATCAAAAAGCATCCAGGAATAGCTAACACATTTTTACTGCTTCAAAACATGTAAAAAAAAAATAACAACATCAAAGCTTCAGTGTGAAGACATCTTTTCTTATTTAATACATGTTTTGTCAGCTTGAGACACAATTTGCAAAGCAAAAACATGCAGTGCATAAAGTACCACAAAGTGATACTTGAGTAAAAGTACAAGTATCTTACCAAAAAAACTACTTTGGTAAAAGTTAAAGTCTCTTTTAGGAATATTATTTGAGTAAAAGTCTTAAAGTATTTGTTATTTGTTGTACTTGTTATGATTTTTGTCTGTGTTAAGTGTTTTTATTTTTAGTTTCTGTCATGTTCCTGTTTTCCTCCTCATGTCTGCCCAGCTGCCCCTTATTTGTCTGATGAGTCACCCTCATGTTTCTCCTCAGGTGTTTTCTGTTTAGTAATTATTGTCAGTGTATTTAACCCCTGTCTTGTCTCTGTGTCATTGTCAGATCATTGTTTGTATGTTCCAGTTGGATTCTTGTTCCTGCATTTTGGTTAGTTTTCTGTTTTTGCCTCCAAGCTGGCCATTTATTTAATAAATTTTTTGTTAAACTTTCTTGCCTGTCTGCCTGCCTGCAAGTGGGTTCACCCTGCCTCCAAGTCGTATCAGTACTTATTAAAAGTAAAAGTATTGATTTAAAATGAGCATTTAGATTTTCTGTAAGGACATTTATTTTATATGTGTCCTGCTGGAGTGTGACATGGTTTGTTTGTGTACAAACTAATACTGTATCAGAATTTTATATATTTATACTTCCCATTCAACCACAATTAAATTCACTCTATCTAGGAGGCACAGTTTATATGGATATTATTTATTTTTTAGAAGCTGGAATGAAAACAAGCAAAAATGAAATAAAAGTAACAACTTTCTACTTCTTGCCTTTTTCAAAAATGTAAGGAGTAGAAAGTACAGATAACTGTGTGAAATTGTAAGGAGTAGAAGAAAAAGTAGGCTGAAAAATAATTACTCAAGTTACTATTACAGATACCCCAAAAATTCTACTTAAGTACATCCATCCATCCATTATCTTCCGCTTTATCCAAAGTTGGGTCGCAGGGGATCAGCAGCTTGAGCCGGGAAGCCCAGAGCTCTCTTTCCCCAGCCACCTCTTCCAGCTCTTCTGGGAGGACTGCAAGGGGTTCCCAGGCCAGCCGAGAGACATATAGTCTCTCCAGCGTGTCCTGGGTCTTCCTCAGGGTCTCCTCCCAGTTGGACATGCCTGAAGCACCTCCCTCGGGAGGCGTCCAGGAGACATCCTTACAAGATGCCCAAGCCACCTCAACTGGCTCCTCTSGACGTGGAGGAGCAGCGGCTCTACTCTGAGTCCCTCCTGGATGACTGAGCTTCTCACCATAGCTCTAAGGGAGAGCCCAGCCACCCTTTTGAGGAAACTCATTTCGACCTCTAGTATCCGAGATCTTGTTCTTTCGGTCACTACCCAAAGCTCGTGACCATAGGTGAGGGTAGGAATGTAGACTGATCGGTCAACAGAGAGCTTTGCCTTATAGCTCAGCTCTTCACCACAACAGACCAGTACAGAGTCTGCAAAACTGCAGAAGTTGCACCGATCTGTCTATCAATTTCACGCTCCATTCTTCCCTCACTCGTGAACAAGACCCTAACATACTTGAACTCCTCCACTTGAGGCAGAACTTTATCCCAACCCGGACAGAGCAATCCACCCTTCTCCGACTGAGGACCGTGGACTCAGATTTAGAGGAGCTGATCCTCATCTCAGCCACTTCCACTGTGAACCACTCCAGTGAGAGCTGAAGATCGTGGTGCAATGACGCCAACAGAACCACATCATCTGCAAACAGCAGAGATGAAATCCTGAGACCACCGAACTGGACTCCCTCAGCCCCCTGGCTGCACCGACAAATTCTGTCCATGTAATGAACAGAATCTGTGACAACGGGCAGCCCTGGCGGAGTCCAACTCCCACTCTGAAGGGGTCCAACTTACCACCGGCACTGCAAACCAAACTCTCGCACCGCTTGTACAGAGACTGAATGGCTCGTAACAACGGGCCCACAATCCCATACTCACATAGCGTGCTTAAGTACAGTAACAAAATATTTGTACTTAGTTTACAACTCTGCGTGCAAAGAACAGTTTGAACTTCTCCCCATCCAGAAACAAACTGGACACTGAACGCAGCACGGGGCTGAAGTGGAAAGGACAATAAAGGACATCCAATAAACACTGAGCACAGATGAGGAGAAACAATCTCACATCCTCTGCTCCTCACCAACTCCTGCAGAGTCTTTTAATTCACCTCACTCCTCTAACAGACACATCCAGACTGAGATGCTGAATGAATACAAAGTAACTCTCTTTTTACTCGTTTCTTATCTCTTTGAGGAGGACTTTATGCCTCTTCCTGAATAAATATCGGCCCCTTGTCTTTGCCACGACAAATTGCAGCGGCTCTGAAACAGACACGCTGCTGCTGAAGTAAATCCATCCACATTTATCAAACAACAGTTTCCTGATGTTAGTGGGACCTGTGCAATAATTTCAATTAAACTGTCTGCAATCCCACATTCCTTTCAATTAGACAGAGATGAGTCATGAAAACGACACATTTATCATTAGATAAAAGGGGATGTAGGTTCATTACAGAATGCTTGTTTCCTGTTTATACAATATATGTTTAAGTAAAATAAAACTTTATTTTGTGTTTCTGGAAGGACAAAGTGGACAACAACAGGTGGACTCAACATGGAACAGAGTCGGACACGTAGCTCTTCATAAGATGGAGGACGAAAATCTTGCAGCATCGTTGGAAATGATGTATTTATGACATTTATTGTTTTTGTTCTCACACATCTGTTCAAAGGTTCATACGGGAGGTAGTAACACATACAAACACACACAGAGAGAGAGAGACAGACACCTCGGGGCTGTTGCAGCAGCCACACAACGTGACCGGCATGTCTACAGGTGGCGTGAACCACTGATTGCAAGAACACACACTTACACAACTGTTACACACTCGCAGCACAGTCAGAGCTATGGCCAGAAATTGTCTGAGACACAGTAAAAAGTCGTGTGATTCACAGCAAAAAGCCGGAGGGATGGAGGAAAAATAATCTAACGTGAGTTCCACGTAAATGTGTGTGTGTGTGTGTGTGTGTGTGTGTGTGTGTGTGTGTGTGTGTGTGTGTGTGTGTG